ACACCCTTATACCCAAAAACCACCCCAAAATCACTTAAACAATTCTAGCCAAGCTAAAAATGACTTGTCGCTCTTTTCCTTCTGCACAGAGAAAGTTCCGAGGCTCTCACACGACATGCAAAAAAGACCGATTCGATACATGCGTCGGAAGACACCTTATACCGAAAACCAACCCAAAATCACTTCAATGATTCTCGCCAAGTTAAGGGTGTCTTCCGACGCATGTATCAAATCGGTCTCTTTTGCATGTCGTGTGAGGGCTTTGGAACTTTCTCCATGCAGAAGGAAAAGAGCGACAAGTCATTTTTAGCTTGGCTAGAATGGTTTAAGTGATTTTGGGGATGGTTTTTCGGGTATAAGGGTGTCTTCCGACGCATGTATCGGATCGGTCTCTTTTGTACTTTGTTTGTGGGTCTCAAAACTTCCTCCCTGCAAAAGGACAAGAGCGACAAATCATTTTTAAAAAATCGTTCCAGGAACGTTCCAAACTTCAACCAGCTCTGTATGAACACTTTTTAACGTTACATGTCGCAATAACAATCCTAGCCAGTCCAATCCTTACTCGTGCTGATGTTGCTAATGTTACGTACGCGGAAGAACTTCTAAAAAAGTTTGTTGAAAACTTCGAAATATTATATGGAGAAAAATATGTCAGTCATAATATACATAATTTGCTGCATCTCGCAGCTGATGTCAGGCAGTACGGATCTGTAGATGGCTTCAGTGCCTTTCCGTTTGAAAATTTCCTTGGTGTTTTGACAAAACTAATTAGAAAGTCCGAGAAACCATTACAACAAATTGCTCGTAGGCTTTCGGAGTATGGTGCAATAACTTCCAGTGATGTAAGAAAGTCAAATCTTTATAATTTGGAAAAGCACCACCATGATGGTCCTTTTGATAACGTTAAAAGTTATACAAAACAATACAAAATAATGCATAAAAATTTATTTTCTCTGAATTGTGATAATAAACAGAACTGCTACTGTCTATTGAACGATGGAACCATGATCGAAGCTGTCAATTTTGCGGTATCTAACAATGTAACATACATTATTGGCTTGCAATTAATTCCGATTGGTAATATATATTCAGATCCTACAGAGTCAGGAGAGCTCGGCATAACAA